TTCCCTGTACTTGTAAATTTTCTGTAATCAAATTTTGCTGTGCCCCTAGAACCTAAATGTCACATGCAACAGACAACCAATTTAGGTGATATTTTGGGTGTTGAACCACACACAAGATGTGAGGTAGAGGAAAAAGATTATCTTGTTCCTCAGCCAAAAGGCCAATGGCCAAGGAATAAAAATGGTGAAAAGCTCAAGTTATATTGGAAAATGCAGACTTGCAGCAACTGTTAGCTGTAAAATTTGTATAAGTATATGGTAATTGGTTTCTTTTTTCTACCTCCCTTTCAAAATCATTATTGCAACTTCAATACTACATTTTTTTTTTTCATCTTATTATGCATTTGAATCAGATAAATGAGGAAGTGACTCTCAAAGTCCAAATTGGAAAAGTGGCTTGCCTAGTCACAATGAAGGGAGATAGATATATATTTTTTTCTTTTCCCCTTTTATATCATGACTCCATATTATCAATTCTTAATTACAGAATTGAGAGTTGAATTTTGAGAGATAATTACCTCTGTTGAGTTCTAATAGTGAAATGGTTTCACTCTGTACTGATGGAACTGAATCTACTTCCTTTACCTCGAACGACTTCTACGACCTGCAATAACTCAACACCGAAAGGGATAAGTTTCCGGCGAAGAGCCTCCGATTTCTAAGTTGCAAGGTTGAAGGTGATGAACAATAACTGAGTATTTAGAATGTAGAGAGAGAAAGTGCAACACTTTACACCTTTTTATTATCATAACCAAAAGATAAAAATCGAGAGTAAAAATAAAATTTAATTAAAATAAAGCATGTCACATTAATTTTGCTAATATATGATTACAAACAAAAAATAAGAAAATAAAATATAAGTTAAGTTGTTTATATAAGTGCATAGTTATAGAAAAGTAGATTGGGAAAAATGCAAGAGTTGTAAAAAATGCAAGTTGCTGAAATTGTGTAACAAAATGAGAAATTTCATGACAAAATAAAGGGAGAATAATGTCAAACTGGAAACATTACAGATACAGATGATTATTGTGAAAGAAAATAATACTAGTAATTATATTTGTAATTGAAAAGGGAGGGAGAACGAAAATAATGTTATTAAAAATTTTGTGTACAATTATATATATAGATATTAACAAATTGTAAATTACACTAAGTTTTATGGAATTATACGCTTATAAAATTTCTTTTAACAAAACTTTTTTTTTTAAGTTATTTATTCTAAAATTAATATTAACATTTTATTTTTATCTCATCTTATAGCAGTTCATATATAAATAATATAATTTATAATTATATTGTTCATTCTTACTAATGATTAAATTATATTGTTCATTCTTACTAATAATTATATTGTTCATTCTTACTAATGATTAAATTTAGTAAGAATGAACAATATAATTATAAATTATATTATTTATATATGAACTGCTATAAGATGAGCTGGAAGAGTCAGTGTTGACAATTTTCCTGGCATAGTGCTAATAATGGACTAGATCAAAATGACTCAATTAAATTCTAGTGTTTCTATTAGTGAAGTTTCTAGAAAAAAAAATATATCAAACGGGCGCAATGCACCTTGGTCGCTACAGAAACAAGTCTCCTTGTATAATTACAAGGGTAAGGTACAACTGACCACCTAGACCCCAACTTATTGGAAATATACTGGGTATGTTGTTGTATGTGATTACATGTTACAATTTATGGTTATAATATAATATCTAATTATTCATATAATATAACTTATAATATTTTATTTTTACGGCACACACAATTGATTCGTGTTTTATGCTGGCATGTTGCGAGCAGGCAGTTGTAATATTTGTAATCATTCCCCAAAACGAACCTTAAACCCTAAAACAGAAAAACGAACATTTGTCGCTGCAACTGTGGGAAGACTCGGAAACCCGATTGGCAGTAAATATGCACATTCTTCATAGACATCCCTTGCGGAGAATCCCCTTCATTTTCTTCAATCAAGTTAGCATTTTTCACCTGTTCTTCCCTTGCTGTTTTATGGAATTCCTTCTTTTTGTATCCGTGTTCAT